AGTTATCGACGGGCTCAACATTATGGTGTCCCTGCATATGACTCCAGTTAGGTCGTATGATGATTGCTACCGAAATATACATCCCGGCTACTCTCCTATATAATCATCCAATTAAATCGCATTAGTGAATCATGAAATTAAATAAGTCAAATACGAGAATGAAGTTTGAATACGTATATTTTGTACAATCGTTGATACAAACAGACGATCAGAAAATGGAGCGAAGAAAGCGAAGCTAAAAGAGGAGGAGGCGAGTGAGCCAACTCAATATTTATGTTCAGACAAAAATAAGTTACAGACACATCATGAATAGGGTAAGTAATTAACACATATATGATCACCTAAATACAGTCAGTGTTAATAAGCAGATGAGTGATAGGATCAAAACGTGGCTTCAAGAGAATCAATAAATTACTCTGTCCATAAGCTAGAATAGCTTATGGTGGGCTTAACATAGTACTACTACTACTACTACTAGCCACTACAATTTTATAAGAACAATTAATTCCATAAGAATATGCCTACTAATGAGTAGTTTACGTATTCTATATGCATTCGCTAATAAATAAATAAATCGTACGAATACCACGTACAATCGTGAATTGTTCTAGACACGTATATACATACACACACACACAAATAAATACAAATACATTTCCATTTACACAATTAAAAGTTAAATGAGACGTATATAAAATGGGGATAAAAAAGGCATGGAAAATTTACAGCTTCCCTGTCTAGTTCATTGTGTCTCATGAACAGAGCGAAGCATAGTTTTTTTTTTTACAAATGATTTACGTGTACTATGAATATATATTGAAAGGAAATAGTTTTACGTTAATGGTATAACTATGGTTGCTTCCGTTTTTGGGTTTATACAATCATATATTATTATGGGTTATTTTACTTTTATTGTCATTACATTGAATCTATTATATCTGTCGATTTATTTAGTTAAGCTTAAACTGATTATTATTTAGTAAAGATTGAAATAACATATTACGCCGGGAAATTGAAGCGGATGTGAAAACGATGAATGTTAACTGGAAAGAATTGCCCAGGACAGAGTTGGATGGAGAATGCTGGTTAGCGGCCAATGCTCCTCCACGAGGGGTAACAGGCGTAAGTAAGTAAGTAAAGATTGAAATAATTCTAATGTGAATAGAATCTATTGCGAATTCGATAGAGAGGTGAGCGAAAAAGTGTGACACTTTGAAAAAAAAGTCCTAGAGATAGAACCCAGAAAGAAGGCAGAGATGTTGAGGTAAATTTGGTATGAAACAACTATATACAACATATAGTAAACAAATATGACCACCTTGAGAAATAGAAGACTCCTCAAACTACATGTAGTAACAACAAACCAATGGAAATAACAAACATCATGAGGGAAATATAAATTACAAAAGATACTGTGGCAAAAATCAGTGAATTAAAGTACTATGACACAGAAAACATAAGTATACAAAAATTAATTACATAAGTTTCAAGTCACAAATAATACATTTTATTGACAGATTTCCTGTTACCTAGTTTGATCTATCGAGTTGAATAACTCAATACATTTTCATTTATATCAAACAAATAATTGATACACTCAACATCACCAACATCGGCCATGTACACAAACTTTATAAGACAGGCCCCCGAATGCCCTAGTACGGCCGACAGTGGGAAAAGTCCGTTCTTCCTCTCGAAATGCTCTCATACGGCCACGCGTATATAGCCTCTATCAGGGAAGTCCTACTCACTGCCTTCTCACTGCATTACTGTTATTTACGAAATTGAGAAGATGAAAAGCAAATGTCCGACGCTTTAACCGGGTTGGTGGACACGGAAATGCCACATAGGGGAGTTGGAAAACTCTGATTCCAAACCAGTGGTGCACATGGGCTCCAGTATCCTCAAAGAAACAAATGGCGTATGAATCAATCGTTGGTCACCGACTACCATGTGACTGCATCTCTTCACGATGCTCCACTATCTTTTGGATCAGATCTTTAGGTCAAAAGCTCGGGGTGTGGCCCCCTAAGAAAACCACCTGTTTCAGTTTGGGCACCTGGGCAGTGTCACAGCCCTCACACAAATCGAATGAGATTTGTGAGGCGCATATGTATTCAGTGCCCCTTTGTACCAATATTTATGTGTTTAAATAAATAAATAAATAAGACAGGGAACGTTACTCAGACTCATATTTAGTAAAATTCCTTCATAGAACTCAAAATAAAACAATCTATTTGAAATTTTCTATTTAAGAAAAGGAACTAAGAAAAACGTCAAAAGAATGAACTATGGTGACCATAAACTAATATTTTCTGCCGACCGTTCATGCTACCTTGACGTGACGGTCAGACTTGCCTATCGTGATAAACCAATCGAGCTATATTGGCTGGAACAATCGTTCCTCAAGGTCCCATTATGCCAGAAAGGTCGGTTGAAGAGCGGTAAGACTGAAAGCAGCAAACCCAAGGTCCGAAGGCGAAGTCGTACTGCTCACTGTACAGAGGTGTGACGGCAGTAAAGTGTTTCCTTCAGACAACCGGCATAGCAGCGATGCCGCCTTCCCATAAGGAGGGGTGGGGTTGGAAAAGGTCGACTCTGAAAATGCACACCTCGCCTAATCCTACAGATATCCGTCTCCGACGGTAAGGTCCCAACAAGTACGGAGCTAACACAAAAATTACCTACAAAAGAGTTGTGTGTGACCGACCTCAAGCAGTTGTGCCCTAGGCACTGTGGTCACGCTTTCAGGTCATTAAGACCACTTCTAACTCAATTTCCTTTTCATGTAACTCTAGAAGAACCCTTTCAAGGTGTGAGCAACCAGGAAGTGATAACTGCTGTCATACCACAAACAGCACTCAAGATCACTGACTGAATATTTTCTCCGGACATCGATTGAATCAGTAAATTGAGTTGAGAGAGAGAGGGGGGAGGGAGAGAGATGCAATTATTTCACACAACATGTGAATGTAAACAAATGCTGTAAAAAAAATCTTTTTTTCAGAAAAAAAAGTAGAAGAAAAATCTATGCTCTTTCTTTTCACACTGATTACTTTTCTACTAACTGACTGATGTATTCATGAAACATACACGGAGAATATAAAAAAAAAACCCTGACAATAATGGTGATAATCATAATCATAAAAAGCTGTTAGAAACACCTTAACAACAAGTCATAGACAAATAAGTTAACACCTGGCTACAAAAATTCATTTATATATATGTTTTTTCACAGCATGAAATATGTTGTCTTATGAATAACTGTTTATTGACTAAATTAGAATAAAAAATAAATTTAATGGTGTATATAGATAGTTGAATACTTCAATCCTTCATGATATATCATTGTTACCGTGTATGTGTGTGTGTGTGTTTGTGTTTGTGTACATAGGTAAAATGAAGCAAAATTTTGACATGAAAATGTTTGAAAAAAGAAGAAAGTAATCGATCGAGTGAAAATCCGCTTTGATTTGGATTTCATGTTAGTTTGATACTTGTCAAATAAGGTGTATATTAATAATCTACAAGAAATTATTGATGATCTCAAATTTATGTAACCTGGTTACATAATTAAGGATATCAAACTGTCATTATTTGAGTCAGTATTGATCTCTGAGATTGTGATACTTAGTTTTTCAATTGGAGTATTTCATTGAAGAAAATCGGTTTTTAAAAAGGTTATAAAGATATACCTTACTGAGTTCCAAATTAAATCAAATAGAGCTTCTTGTCAATTGTTTACAAATACTCAACAATGAAACATGAGACATCAAGTTACTTATCAGTGAATCAATCAGTCGCAACGTAGAACTTCGTAAGTACATACATCAGTTCGAGTTGCAGTATCACATTAAAACAGAGACGCAGTTGTCGATTCAAACCCCATAGTGGTAGAGGTAGTAAAAGTATAAGCATTAATGTGAAACATCAGGGTTTGAAGATGTTATTCAAGGGGTACAATCCAGTGCAGTAAATTTGGAAAGAGAAAAAAGATAGAGACATGGAGTCAAGTTACTCATACTGCTGATCAAATTGAAAATTAATCAGTGTAATTTAATTATTATTATTTATTTAAACACATAAATATTGGTACAAAGGGGCACCGGATACATATGCGCCACACAAATCGAATGAGATTTGTGTGAGGGCTGTGATACTGCTCTGACGCCCAAACTGAAGCAGGTGGTTTTCTTAGGAGGCCACATCCAGAGTCTTTGACCTAAAGGTCTGATCCACAGGGTGGTGGAGCATCGTAAGGAAATGCAGTCCCATGGTAGTCGGTGGCCAACGATTGATTCATACGCCATTTGTTTCTTTGAGGATACTGGAGCCCATGTGCACCATTGGTTTGGAATGAGGGTTTTTCAACTCCCCTAGGTGGATTCTCCACATCCGCTAACTCGGTTAAAGCGTCGGATATTCGCTTTTCGTCCTCTCAATTTCGTAAACAACAGTAATGCCACGAGAAGGCAGTGAGTAGGACTTCCCTGTCAGAGGCTATATACGCGTGGCCGAGTGAGAGCATTTCGGCCGTACTAGGGCATTCAGAGGTTCTTAAAAGGCTATAAAAATATACCTTATTGAGTTTCAAATTAAGTCAAGTAGAGCTTCTTGTCAATTGTTTACAAATGGTTAACAACAAAATATGAGACGTCAATTTATTTATACTGGTAATCACATTGAAAATTAATCAGTGTAATTTAATAGACAACACGAAAGCCTACATGAACAAGGCACATGTTGCAGTTTAGTGATCAACCACTATATTATGACTATCTGTTATACAGCTTAGATTGAATAGACGTTTTATTGAGTAATGTGTATTTATACTGATTGAGATTACCATTATGTCATTAATGAATGTCACACGAAAAGATGGTAAGGATATTTTAAAAATCAAAAGCTTTCTAATCGCTACACATGATATCGGATGCTCTAATAAAAGAAAAACAGAGACATACATACTGAAAAAGGAAATGAATGGAAAAAAAACTCACATTTCCGTCACCACGTCCAGCTGTAAATATAACACTAATAATGACTAAATGTGAAAATTCTGCTTGAATCCATTCACGTAGACCATCTTCAACATGTGTATTTGGACACCATGCATAACCACTTGTATGCTCATTACTTCCATAAACTTCTGTTAATCTAGAAGAGAGAGAAAATGGGGAAAAAATGGAGAGAAAATGAACTACAAAGCGAGAAACTGTAATATGAAGTGAATGGTGAAAAATAGATACAGATTTAAATAATAACCTAAATTTCATTACAGTCTAAGAAGGAAATATAGTCTATACACAGTTGTATTGGAGAGTTGAAGGTAGTTTATAGCAAGATTCTTGTTACCAGTGAAAGTTAACCAGTCATAATGAACGTAAAGTTTAGTGAAAATGTGCGTTAGCCCAGTTATATACAGAATTAGTACTGAGACAAAACTAAGATAAATAGTGAATACATCTGTGCTATTGTGAGTAATTCTGAGTCAGTGAAAGTATAAGGTAAGCTGAATATTTATTTCTATTTATTCATTATGCAATAAACACTATCTCTTGTAAAACTTCCGTTTTAGGATGATGTTACCTAGTTAGAAGTAGTTAGCTCGGAAGCCTGTTTAACGCGAGTTTCACACTGTTTGGAACACATTGCATCAAGTTGTTACCTACAAACTTCAGTGAACTAATATTCACTGTAAGATTTTAGTATACATTGAATTGGATTGCATTTACAAAACCTTACCACCACCAAGGTATTCGAGTTTCTGATTATCAATTTATAAATATAGTGTAGATCAGAAGAGGTTTTGTGGAGAATTTAGTATTTTCATAGTTGAAATCATGAGTCAATTGAAGCTAGACAACCATGGAAAACCTGGAGTCACTGGACGGCCGTTTCGTCCTATTATCGTGGATTGGTTGAAGTTAGACATTAACACCGTTGGAAGATGGCCGGCTCAGTGATCTATCGGTTAAATGATCTGGCACGAAACTCATAGGTTCTGGGTTCGAATCTCAGGAGGCGGGATCGTGGATGCGCACTGCTGAGAAGTCTCATAATAGGACGAAACGGCCATCCAGTGCTTCCAGGTTTTCGATGATGGTCTAGCTTCAATTGAATCATGATTTCAACAATGAAAATATAGTGTAATAAAATAAATCTTATTGAATCAATAATCAATTTTAAAAATAATATTTACTACTTAAATAAAGGACAATGGTCTACTTATAAGTCTGTGAACTTTACAATTAATCAACCCTTTAAAATTTCGACTATTTTTGATATTTTCTTCACCGAGCCAAATTGAAAAAAAACATCGGAATTCTGGATCAATGAAATCATACGAGAATTACGGAATTTTCAAAAGTATGGTATTCAGGTTAATCGGGAATCAATAGACACATTAGTATAGATCCGATCTATCAATATTTACAAAGGAGCTTGGTCGACTACTACATGGTCAGAGATCCAACTGAAATAGATAGTGAACACGTAAGGATGAACAACTGATGACAACAAAACCTACGAAAACAACCTATCATAAACAAAACCGTAAGAAAAAGACGGAATAACTAAGCAACTAACTTCTACGTGAAGTAGTTTTATTTATTTATTTTAACACATAAATATTGGTACAAGGAGGCACCAGATACATATGCGCCACACAAATCGAATGAGATTTGTGTAAGGGCTGTGATAGTGTCCAGGTGCCCAAACTGAAACAGGTGGTTTTCCTAAGGGGCCAAACCCGGAGCCTTTGACATAAAGATCTGATCAACAAGGCAGTGGAGCATCGTGAGGAGATGCAGTCCCATGGTAGTCGACGACCAAAAATTGGTTCATACACCATTTGCTCCCTTAGGATACTGGAGCAGACCCATGTGCACCATTAGTTTGGAATCAGAGTTTTCTAACTCCCCTATGTGGCATTTCCGTGTCCACCAACCCGGTTAAAGCGTCGTATATTCGCTTTTCGTCCTCTCGATGTCGTAAACAACATTAATGCCACGAGAAGGTAGTGAGTAGGACTTCACTGACAAAGGCTATACGCTCGTGGTCATGTGAGAGCATTTCGAGAGGGAGAGCGGACTCTCCCCGCATTGAAAACTCTGAAAATAAATCATCTAAATAAGGAAACATAACACTATCAAAACCATCCACATAGGTACAAAATCTTTTTCATTATTCCCAAAATGTTTACCGTCCTCAAGCATAGGAATAGTATAAAGTGAAATCTTTAAATAAAGGTCAACATATCATGGTAAATATGTCTTATGATGTTTCCTATTTTATAATGATAAGATCAATTCAACATGAAAGCATCGGTAAAGAATATAAACAAACATACAGGTAGATATGCATGAATACACCAGAAGAGTAACTAGGGAAAATACACTTAATATGAATATTTCCCTTATAACTATGACCTGAACAAGGGAATAAACTTAAAAGGAATACTTTAATCTATTTATTATTCAATTAATTCATTTAATCAATTAACAATCAAAGAAAAATTATGATGTCAACAGTAAAAGAATTAAAAAAAAAAAAGAAAAAACGAAAAATATGTTTGAAGTAAAATGAAAAAAAATAGGGGGGGGGAATACTTGTTCCGTGATTTTCACTATTGAACTTAAATTATCAAAACAAAACAAAAAAAGGAGGACAAGGTCAAATCATGAACACTTATAATTATCAAATGTTTAATGTTGTTCCTGGTAGCAATAGGTGAACATATTACATTAATGATGCTGAACCTATACTTTATTATTATTATTATTATTATTATTATTATTATTATTATTATTATTATTATTATTCATGAAGCTTGAATACATGCAAAACCTTCATGAAGATATCCATATTCTATAATATATCGTTGTAGAAGATATATTAGTAAATGGATTTCATGATTAAAATAAGATTAAAAATAAAGAAGAAAAAAGAGGCTACTAGGAGCATGGACATTTACTGAATAAGCATCAGTTGAAGAAATAAAACAGAGAAAGTTTTTATATATAAATTATAACATTTTAATCGTTTAAAAATCCCAATCATATTAAAAGACTAATATTTGAACAAATAAACAATGTAAAGGTGTCAAGATTTCAATTGTTTCATGTAACTTCTTTTTATGCCCGATATGTAATGTTTTTCAAGTGAAAATTCATTCAATAACAGCTTTCTAGAATTTCTGTGTATCTCTTACTAGTTGATATATTAGTATTAATGACAACTCCAGATTTTCAGTGAGTTATTATCTTACAACAGACCTGGTTAAACTCTACTGGTTACTGCTTCTCATTAGAACTTCAGGAAATACCTCATGGAGCCAGTCACTAGTGAGCATATAATCATCATCAGAAGGGGGTTTTGTGGAGATTTTAGTAGTTTTATGTAGTTGAAATCATGAGTCAATTGAAGCTAGATAACCATCGAAAACCCCGAAGCACTGAACGGCCGTTTCATCCTATAGTGGGACTCCTCCTCAGTGCGCATCCACGATCCCGCCTCACGAGATTCGAACCTAGGACATATCAGTCTCGTGTGCGAGCACTTAACCGATAGACCACTAAGTCGTCCGTCATCCAATGGTGTTAATGTCTAACTTCAACCAATCCACGAAATTGAGCAACTATTCACCAATATCTTCAGTGAGTTCATATCTCCCAACACAACTGGTTGAACTATTAAATTGACTCATGATCATAACTATATAAAATTACTAAAATCTCCAGATTTTACTGAAAGTGAGTATTTTCTCACAGATAATTAATTAATTAATCATTTCTATTTACACATAACATAATGATTAAATGTGACAGAATTGAGTTGATTAAAGTCATTCCTCTACCTACAGGAATGTGTTGTATCATTTTAGTTCGTTTTATTATTATTATTATTATTATTATTATTATTATTAGTAGTAGTAGTAGTAGTAGTAGTAATAGTAGTGGTAGTAGTAGTAGTAGTAGTAGTAGTAGTAGTAGTGGTAGTAGTAGTAGTAGTAGGATGAAATATTGTCTCCCTTTTCTATATGGTTAAAGTATCTACATCATCGCTAACCAATTTCATCCATTGACAATAATGAGATTAATAATAATAATATGAAATAGGATAGTAATTAACCGCCAAAAGAAATAATAATATAATTTAATATTAAGGGAATAGAAATCACAACAATTACTGGCCAATAATTATTTTTGTTAATACTATTAACACTACTACTAACTACTAACTACTACTACTGCTATTACCATTCAACGAAGTAGGGGTATAACACATTAATCATTATCAGTCATTAACTCTTTAAAAACAATTTTTTAAACCTTCTTTCAAAGGTAATTTTGAATAAATGAAACAACATTAAACAACAGATTAATAAATGTAATTAATTGATTAGTCATAGGTAATAAATAATGAAGGAAATTACTTCTCACATCTCAGATTAAGTTGCCTAGTAGTATGCCAACGAATGAGTGAACATCTACCAGCATGGTTTGGGAAGGGACAGATAAAAACAATACACAGTTCTATATTGGCACATCTAATTGATAGTGATCATAATGTAGATAAATCGAAATCATTTCGAGAGATCTATCGTATACCTCCATCATTTCCCAAAGGAGTTCATTCCCGTCTCCTTCATATAGCTGAAGCCATAGGAATTCGTACATTCCACCCCAATTTATGTGTAAAGAAGAAATTCGTAACCCCCCTATCCCTTCCATGGCCGGACATAACTTAACAAATGACATTATTATTTGTAAAATTTATTTTTATTATCTTAATTTTGTTATCATTTGTTTGTAATTTTCTACCTCTTTCCGTTTGTATTCTTCACTATCTATTTACTTACATACTTCTTATTACGTAATGATTTCAATGTTTTGTGATCACTATTGTAAGTCTATTTACCCATGTTTGACCTCTTATTTCTTATGGTTAACTATTGATAAGACTTTTGTTATCATAATTTACTATTCTTACTACTATCAGTACACCTGCCTTCTCACTATCAACTTGTACTTTTAACTATTATTATGCTTGGTAACGTATTCTATTTCATTGTGATTATTGACTCAAATAGCCTTGATTGGTCTAACAGTTTCGTATAAATATTCACAATGGGAATCTTTAAAACTCCATGGTAG